CCTTGGGCTGTTTTCTGCTTTTTGGGCGGGTTGTTGTCACTTTGAGGCATTCCCCTTTTTCATTCTCAAGTTTATCAATAGCGAACACCTTTTTCTTCAATCAGGCCCACTTTTTATTCGTCATATTTCGTATTGGTAAATGACCGGCTAAACTGTTAGTTTAACCCTAACCCCTAACCTTAACCCTAACCCAGCACTAAATAATTCAAAATATGGTGACTATGTTGAACGCATCTATCCCATCGAACTTTAAATTAGGGATACAGTTAGGTCTGCCTCATATCTTGACTTACATCTAGAAATTGACAATGAGAGTCGGTTGAGAAGAAGACTTTACGACAAAAGAGATGATTTCAGCTTCCCAATTGTGAACTTTCCATTTCTATGTAGCAACATTCCAGCTGCGCCTGCATACGGAGTACATATCTCCCAGTTGATGCGATATTCCAGGGCTTGTATTTCCTATCATGATTTATTGATAGAGGGTTGCTGCTTACAAGGAAGCTATTAAACCAAGAGTTCCAAGTGGTGAAGTTGAAATCATCCCTTCGTAAGTTTTACGGACGCCATCACGAGTTGGTTGACCGTTATCGAATATCCGTTTCACAGATGATAGCGGATATGTTCCAAATGTCGTAACTGCAATCCCGTATCCCTTTTCCCCGAATGTGACCTAACGAATTAGACTTATTACCGGGTTTGTTCTACCATGAGCAACACGACGGTTGCCACATGTGGAGCAGGATCTGCTTAACCTTCTTGAGCACCTGAGATCACCCCCAGTTTTTGGTGGGTTTGTGTTGCTCAGTCTTTAGTTTATTATGTTGTGTTTTTTGTACTGTTGTTTGTCTGTTTGTCTGTTTGTCTTTTTCTTTTTTAGCCATGGCGTTGTCGGTTTATTTTCAACTTTGAATGCCCCTTTGGCATCTTTCCCCTCTCTTGGTACAGGAATTTCCTTATGTAGATAATGTTATATTTACTTCGAATCAAAATTATTTTTTTTAAATCCAAAGGCAATTTTGCATACATTTGAAGTTTGGCTTCGAACAACAATAATGGAACATGATGATTTGTTGACCAATACCAACATATTCATTTTTAGCATTTCCATCATTGAGGACGTATTAGATTTAGTAGTCCTTTATAAAAAATGATAAATAACTTGTATACTTATTAACTTAATATGCTGTTTATTTTTTTAACTTAGTTTTAAATGTTATCAATTAAGCAGTCAGATACTTGAATATTGTGTTTATTGGTACTAACTTTGATTTTGTTTTTGATTAATTAAAGCATAAGTATGTATTGCTTTACAGTAATGAAAAGTAAAATAACAAAAATACGGAAGTCCAAGCATCATTCTTCTAGTCGATACAGTGTATGTAATTAGGTCTTTCCACTTTTCTGTGGAAAGACCTATTGTATTTGTTCTGATTATTATTATTAGGGCTTTCCACTTTTCTGTGGAAAGACCTATTGTATTTGTTCTGATTTTTCGGTGGAAAGACCTATTGTATTTGTTCTGATTATTATTTTATTTTATTTTTTTTCTTCTTCCGCCACTTTTATTTCTTGCGTATAAATTTTGTTTCGCAAGATGTCGCTTAGATGTTTGGTATATGATATCGAACAGTTTATGTGCCTTTGAAATTCACCCTGCGTAACCGAATACTTTTCTTTGTAGGAGTTATCTCCCCGAACACTGTTTTCCTTGTGACTGCATCTCCTCCGTAACGGTGTAAGAAAGCGACAAATTTATTTTATATAATGCATTTGATATAAGTGATATGCATTTCTATCTTGTAAATCATAAGTGATAGAGATCTAGGATCTTTTGATTTGAGGTCCTTGATCCAAAAATAAGAAAATTAGGTCAAGGTCAGAGGTCAAGGTCATATTTTAAATTTTGATTTTGGCTTATTTTCAATTCTTTTCAAAAACCGTATAAGATATCGACAACAAATTTTTACTGAAATTGTAAGTTGCGACATGTCGTAACACATAAATTTTGGTTGAAAGGGTACGCTAACATGAAGTTGGAGTTTTCTCCCCTCTTACATTAAAAATTAGACATATTGTGATATAACTCATTAGCCATATATAATTAAGACCTATAGTCTTTTGATTTGAAGCCCTTGGTTTATGACCTTGAAATTGAGCTCAAGGTCATAGGTAAAATTGACGTTGTAGATTTTGACCTTTGCTTTTACCTCATATGTAAACATGATAAAGCCATGGGACTTTTTGCATTACGTTGCAAGCCACTTGACCATGAAAAATTCAACCGGAAGTGACCTGGTGTAAACCGGAAGTAGCTATTTTTGTACTTATTTAATGTTAAAGTATATTGAACCATATATTTTTGGAATCAATATCAAGTAAACTATCAAATACAACCGGAAGTGACATATTTCAAACCGGAAATAACAATTTATCTCCCTTATTTAGAAAAAAATGTATAGAAACCATATATTTTTTGAATCAGTGTACAATAAGCTATCATTTGACGCTGGATATGGTATATCAAACTGAATTTTTATAGTTCTATATCAAAATTGATCTTTATTGGTGGAAAGACCTTCAATTGTTCTCTGAACAGTTGGTTTTTAATTATATGTTGGCATTGTACAATGTCACGCTTTTCTCAGACTGTTTATGACGCATTTTTCACTAAATTCGTTTGATGTGCACTGATTCATACTTCACAACATGATTAATCCATAAGGTATTTTTTACTTTGAAGTTGAGTTCGTGCAGTGTTCAATTCTCATATATCAATTCAGGAGACAAATCATGGTAAAAATAAAAAAAAAAAAAAATTAAGGGAATCGCATGAACTGCAACAGAAGCAAGACCGGGTTAATCTAGCTTTCAGGTACTGTGAGTACTATTATAATGGTATTTTGTTTCTTTTTTCTTTATGTTAGTTTTTTAATGCGCTTCGTCCAAATCTGGTGAGTAGCAATTTCCAACTGATAAATACAGTTTGATCTTATGTTGTGCTATAACATTACTACTGTCCTAGGTTCTGGTGAAGGCTATACGCTAACAAACATGTTAAACCCCGCCACATTCTTTATGTGCCTGTCCTTAAAGAAAAGTCAAATGCATTTTAAGTCAAATTCCTCATCTGTTATTTTATAAGGATGCATTTAAATGATGGTATAAAATTAACAATACTGCATCAGAAGCGTATTTTTATAATGTATGTGTCTCCAGTGATGCTAAGGCTTTTCTATTAAAAAGATTACAAAATAATGAAGAATCGCTATTTCATATATTATTTTATAAAGAATAAAAATAGTATGTACCGCTATATCATATACTACATGTATGTAAATAAAAACACAAAATATTGAAGTATCGTTATATCATAAACTATAATTTGAAGAATACGGATTAATGAAGTATCGCTATATCATATACTATATTAAGGGTCGGGGGAAATATTGAAGTATCGCTATATCATCTTCTATTTACGGACGAATACGATATGATGAAGTATCTCTACATCATCTCCTACTTGAGGAAGAATACGATTTGATGAAGTATATCTATATCATCTTCTACTTAAGGAAGAATACGATATGATGAAGTATCGCTATATCATCTTCTACTTAAGGAAGAATACGATATGATGAAGTATCACTATATCATCTTCTATTTAAGGAAGAATACGATATGATGAAGTATATCTTTATCATCTTCTATTTAAGGAAGAATACGATATGATGAAGTATCGCTATATCATATTCTATATAAGAAAAATACGAATTAATGAAGTATATCTACATCGTATACCATTCTTTATGGAAGAATATAAAGTATTGCTATATTATGCACTATAAATTAGAAAAAAAAGTAGAAATGAAGAAACTTAAGGTATTTTGTATAGTATATGCTTATATAAGGAAGAATATAAGAATGAAATAACGCTGCATCGTGTACTATATATTAGGCAAAATACCAGCTAATACAATGTCGCTGTATTATGATTTATATGGTATAGTAGGATGAATACAAAGACATAGAATTTCGTTATTTGATGGCAGAATAACTTTCACGAGACATTCCAAATTATGTTTTATTTCAGATATAATGCAACATCCATGATTGCCACTCCAATTCATAGGACAAAATTAAAAGTTTTTTATTTTTTTTCCAATTTAATGCTTAAAACCTTAATGCTACTAACACTCTTTAAATTTCTTCATTATTAACACTAGCCTAAGCTTTTGAAAGCCAAAGATGTATAAATAGATGTAGAAATGGACAAAAAGGAGCTGAAAAGAATAGCCAAAATCATCTAAAGTCAACTTTGCCTGCGAGAACTGGAACTTGTGTCTTGATATTTCTTAATTTATCGACGGTTAATTTTAGAGTATAACTCATGGCAGTGCCGAATCACTGATTAATGAACGGATGAAACTCCCAGGCATAGATTACCTTAGCCGTATTTGGCACAACTTTTTGGAATTATGGGTACTCAATGCTCTTCAACTTTGTACTTGTTTGGCTTTAAAACTATTTTGATCTGAGCGTCACTGATGAGTCTTATGTAGACGAAACGCGCGTCTGGCATATTAAATTATAAGCCTGGTACCTTTGATAACTATTTACTATCTACCAGCAGTTGTTTCGGCTCAGTCAGTTCTAGAAAGTTAAAATAACAGTGTATAAACTTCGTACGTCCGAAGCGCTTTCCTGGATCTACTTTTACAATCAACGTTTAAACCGAAACATTTGAAAAACTGGGATGTATAAATACGTAAAAAAGTATTACAATGTAATTGTATGAAATGATTGCTTCACTTTCCAGAGGGATAGACGTTTTGATTATGTGTCCATTCAAGTTTTAAGAGATTCCGCGCTGTATCATATTCTATTTTCGGAACTTCCTGTTGTGTGCCCATAAACACTTTTAGAATACAAGGAAATGAAACATATTGTATTCAAGTGTTCTCTTTTCAATTTCCCTTTCCTAGTTCCGCTTACAATTCTAACTATCCTTTTCAATGTTGACACTTGGTTAAACGGCAACGATGAAATTCAATTTGATTTTTGGGTTATGTTACATGTTTTATAGTGTGCAGAACTTTAACATTGATATGGATAATGTAGTTACATTAAAAGAAGAGTCTGGCAAATACTTTGGTTATTCTGTAGTGATGTTCAATAATCAGGATGGAAACTGGTAAGTATAAGAATTATAATAGACTGACGAATACTTTGGTTATTCTGTAGTGATGTTCAATAATCAGGATGGAAACTGGTAAGAATAAGAATTATAATAGACTGACGAATACTTTGGTTATTCTGAAGTGATGTTCAATAATCAGGATGGAAACTGGTAAGAATAAGAATTATAATAGACTGACGAATACTTTGGTTATTCTGTAGTGATGTTCAATAATCAGGATGGAAACTGGTAAGAATAAGAATTATAATAGACTGACGAATACTTTGGTTATTCTGTAGTGATGTTCAATAATCAGGATGGAAACTGGTAAGAATAAGAATTATGATAGACTGACGAATACTTTGGTTATTTTGTAGTGATGTTCAATAATCAGGATTGAAACTGGTAAGAATAAGAATTATAATAGACTGACGAATACTTTGGTTATTTTGTAGTCTTGTATAATAGTCAGTATGGAAACTGGTAAGAATAAGAATAAGAGGACTGGGATATACTTTGGTTATTTTGTAGTCTTGTATAATATTCAGTATACAAACTGGTAAGTATAAAAATAAACTAGACTAGAGATCACTTTAGGTAAATGTAGTCATCTATAATAGTCAGTATGGAAATTGGTAAGTATATAAATCAGACTAGGCTGGCGATTACTTTGGTATATGTAGTCATGAATAATAGCAGATATGGAAACTGGTAAGCATAAATATCAGACTAGACTTGCGATTACTTTGGTTAAATGTAGTCATGTTAAATAGTCAGTATGGAAACTGGTAAGTATCAAAATTAGACTATACTGGCGATCACTTTGGTTAATTGAAGTCATGTATAATAGTCAGTATGGAAACTGATAAGATTAAGAATTATGAGAGAATGGCATATTCTTTGGTTATTGTGCAGTCATGTATAATAGTGAGTATAAGAACTGGTAAGTATAAAAATCAGACTAGACTGTCGATCCCTTTGGTTAAATGTAGTCATGTAAAATAGTCGGTATGTAACTGGGAAGTTTAAAATCGGACTAGGATGGCGATTACTTTGGTTAAATGTAATCATCTATAATAGTCAGTATGGAAATTTATAAGTATAAAAATCAGACTAGACTGGCGATTAGTTTGGTTAAATGTAATCATGTGTAATAATCTGTATGGAAACTGGTAAGCACAAATTTTAGACAAGACTGGTGACTACATTGGTTAAATAGTCATTTATTATAGTCAGTATGGAAACTGGTCAGAACAAGAATGATAATAGACTGACGATTACTTTAGTGATTGTGTAGTCTTGTGTAATAGTCAGTATGAAAACTGGTCAGAATAAGAATTATAATAGACTGACGAATACTTTGGTTATTGTGTAGTCTTGTATAATAATCTGAATGGAAACTGGTAATAATTAAAATAAGAAGAGACTGGGAAATAGTTTGGTTATTTTGTTGTCAAGTATAAAGATAAAGACGGAAACTGGTGAAAAAAAATATCAAGTGGTAATGCCGAATGTTTTGGTAATTAGGTAGTCATGTATAATTCTATTAATCAGTATTGAGCCTGTTTAGATGGATACTTAAAACAACCCTGTCCACCGTTTATAAGACTGAATTACAAAAAAAATCGTCGTGGACGCACATTTTAACTTTCGAAACAAATAATGTGAAGTTTTGTTAATTTATAGCTACAATAAAGGAACATTATTTGAGACGAATTTAATCATGCATAACTGTTCATAACACTTTTAAAACAAGAGACTGGGAAATACTTTGGTTATTTTGTTGTCAAGTATAAAGATAAAGACGGAAACTGGTGAAAATAAATATCAAGAGGTAATGAAAATAAATATCATGTTTTAACACATTCGTGTGTAGGATTTTGAAAATCTTATTGATACACACGTATTGGATTTCGTGCTCTATTCGTGTCAGTTCTTAACTTTTTACATCTATATATACCTTTTACTTTATCAAATGATAAAATGACCAAATATTCTAATTTCTATAAAATAAGAGCCATGTACTTTATGATAGGGTTGGGGGAAGTATAACATTTAATTCTGACCAAGTTCTCTGTTAAAAAACAAATTATATTGTCATTCAAAAGAGAAGAAAAACAATTATTCTGAACAGCTCGTTAAAAAGTTTTAAAACTAATAGGCTTTTCCGCGATGAAAATGTCATGAAAAAAAACCATTGCATCCCCTTTTCATAAACAAACTTAATACACTAAATTACTTACAAAGTGACTTGTATTTTTCATACACCGTAACAATTCATTTGTGTCTTGATTCATGCAGCTACAGTGATATTTATATTGTAACGGGATAATGATTGCCAAAATTAATATCCAGATTCATTAGTGATTTTTATTTCACATTACAAATGAGTCATAGAATATTCCACTTTAGTGTTGTAGGTAAAATAGGATGCTAATCCTGCAAATCTTTGCAGAAAATAATATTTTTTGACGGTATAAAGTCAGATAATGCATATTTTAAGATGATTTGTCTTGTCGTATTACACACCTCGGGGTGTCAGGATTGCCCAAAGAAAGACCTCCCTACGGTCAGTCTTTCATTTGATCAATCTTGACACACCTCGGTGTGTTAAACGATAAGAAAAACCTTAAAATATGCATTATCTATAACAGAATCGAAAAACTCTTAAGCAAATACAAAGGTATATTACGAACATCAGTGATAATATACAAAAGATGTACATTCCCTACGGGCAACTATTGAAAGAAACCCATGCCGCAAAAATACCTACAATCAACGATTGAAGAAAATAATTAATGCAAAACTGACTACCAACAAAGATACAGGGAAAAATATTTTTTTTTAATTTGCATACAAGAAACGATGGAGGGAAAGTCAGATATCAAATTAATCAGGATAATCAGAACAAAAATAAATATAAAAAATTAAGAACATACAAACCAGGACATAAAACGAATGGCAAATGTATAAACATCATCTAAACTAGAACTTGATTTACTGTAAATTTTGACTAGCACTGAGTTGATATCACTACTGATGTAAGGCATCAACAACTCAGTAGTCAGTCCTTTGGTACTGCCAGGATTCATACCATATTATTTTTGTAAATTCCCCGTTATTAAACAAAAAAATTGCTACGAAAATAAGGATCCAACTCATACACTCAATGTTGACCTATAATGAATTTTGCTATTTTGCATACACCTTTTGGTCATAAAACTATCGTGTGTACGTACTGATACATTCATAGTTTTCAAATGTTTCGGGTTAAGCGATCCGTATGAAGGTAAATCGAGAGAAACGCTTATAACGAACGAAATGATTAAAGTGTTATTTTCGTTTAGTATAAAAAGGAAGACGTGGTATGAATGCAAATGAAACTACTTTTAAACAAAGGCCACAAATATGTGGATTTAAGCTTTAGAAACAGCAAGGCCTTCAACAATGAGCAAAACCGATACTGTATAGTCGAATATAAAAGATACCTACTTGACAGAATGTGGAACAATTCAAACAAAACAAAAACAGATATAAAGACAACTGGCAACAACTAGCACCATAGGCACCCGACAAGCTGAGACACGCACTTCAAAATGAATTGACGGGGACAAGCATGCCTGCAAACACAAAACCCTTCCTATTTTGGGTAATTTGGCGCAACTGTACAATACAAAAACAAACTGTAAATATCAGACGGAAACGGTTTGACTCATTAGATCGACACAAAGTACGGTAAACATATAACATAAAGATATAAGACACAAAGAATCGATCGAAGATTACTTGCAGCTACTAATAAACTCGTCAAAGATACTAGAATTAAATTGAGTACGCCAAAAGGTAGTTCAAAGCAAATAACAACTAACATATAAGTCCTGCTGTCTCAGACTAAAGTAAAAATCAGTACAGTTCCGACGCATTTTGTGTAAAGACGTCATAAACAGTCACAGAAAGACGCGACCTTGTACAACGCCGAAAGATAAGTACAGAATATCGACAGAACGTAGGACCAGAAGCTTTTGTAAATAAAATGCAACGCATATTTAGTTAGTATTTAAATCCTGATACTACAGTGTTACAATGATATACTTTCAGAGCAAGTTAAATCCTGATACTACGGTGTTACAATGATATACTTTCAGAGCAAATTAAATCCTGATACTACGGTGTCACAATGATATACTTTCAGAGCAAGTTAAATCCTGATACTACGGTGTTACAATGATATACTTTCAGAGCAAGTTAAATCCTGATACTACGGTGTCACAATGATATACTTTCAGAACAAGTTAAATCCTGATACTCCGGTGTCACAATGATATACTTTCAGAGCAGGTTAAATCCTGATACTACGGTGTCACAATGATATACTTTCAGAGCAAGTTAAATCCTGATACTACGGGGTCACAATGATATACTTTCAGAACAAGTTAAATCCTGATACTACGGTGTCACAATAATATACTTTCAGAGCAGGTTAAATCCTGATACTACGGTGTCACAGTGATATACTTTCAGAACAGGTTAAATCCTGATACTACGGTGTCACAATTATATACTTTCAGAGCAAGTTAAATCCTGATACTCCGGTATTACAATGATATACTTTCAGAGCAAGTTAAATCATGATACTACGGTGTCACAATGATATACTTTCAGAGCAAGTTAAATCCTGATACTACGGTGTCACGGTGATATACTTTCAGAGCAGGTTAAATCCTGATACTACGGTGTTACAATGATATACTTTCAGAACAAGTTAAATCATTATACTACAGTGTCACAATGATATACTTTCAGAGCACGTTAAATCCTGATACTACGGTATTACAATGATATACTTTCAGAACAAGTTAAATCCTGATTCTACGGTGTTACAATGATATACTTTCAGAGCAAGTTAAATCCTGATACTACGGTGTTACAATGATATACTTTCAGAGCAAGTTAAATCATGATACTACGGTGTCACAATGATATACTTTCAGAACAAGTTAAATCCTGATACTACGGTGTTACAATGATATACTTTCAGAGCAAGTTAAATCCTGATACTACGGTGTTACAATGATATTTTCAGAGCAAGTTAAATCCTGATACTACGGTATTACAATGTTAAATATCAGAACAAGTTAAATCCTGATACTACGGTGTTACAATGATATACTTTCAGAGCAAGTTAAATCCTGATACTACAGTGTCACAATGATATACTTTCAGAGCAAGTTAAATCCTGATACTACGGTGTCACAATGATATACTTTCAGAGCAGGTTAAATCCTGATACTACGGTGTCACAATGATATACTTTCAGAGCAAGTTAAATCCTGATACTACAGTGTCAAAGTGATTTACTTTCAGAGCAAGTTAAATCTTGATACTACAGTGTTACAATGATATACTTTCAGAACAAGTTAAATCAACGTGTTAATACGTTTTCATGGACCGATTGCTATATAGACAATATTATCGTAAAATTAAGGATGTGATATTCTGTTTTGTATAACCATTGTACAGTAACAGTAAAACTTTAAAACCAAATCTTTGAATCTATGACAGAATTCAGTCAAAGTTTTAGATAATTTATAGTAACGAAATATAACTGACTGAATTACTTACCAATTCTCCATGAATTCCATTCATTGATATCTTAAACGTCACTTAAGACACCGGGATGGTGAACGAGTTGGTAAATAAAAACACCGTAAAAAGAGGTTAAAGGAACATCACCATCCAAAAAGGACAATTAACAATAGGGAACGAAAAACCATCTCTTTTGTCGTATAATTTTGTTATTCCGCATGAAACCGAAATACCTAAATGTAGAATGGGACAATTATTTATGTAGTTTTGATTTGGTAAAATTGGATATATTTTCATTGCCTTCATTTGAAAACAAAAGTAAGGAGATATTTCTTTATATATACCAGTTGGGCAAGTGCCCTATTACTTTTACTTGTCCGAAAGTGAAATCTACATGCCTAAACTTTTACATGCTATTTTTGTGGTTGTAATGTAGTACATGCAGATAAAATATAGTTTTCATGTATATGGGGTGTAAATTGATCATGGAGTATGAATATTGATGAATTGAGAAGTCAATAATATTTCCAGAATCCTAGCTGTCTACTTACCAGAATTTCATCTCAAGAAGACTTAGAGACTTTGTCAATGCCATGCATGATGTGTCATGAACTTATTTTTGAATTATAGTTGAATCGAGAATATAATTTAAACTTTGAAACAATTCAATGAACCATACATTTTCAAATATAATTACATTTGGAGTATTCTTATAATTGACACAATTAGTCACTGAGTTAATTTTTAGATCAAACTATCATTCAGTTTTCTGAGTCATTTCAAGCTTTTACGTTTTACCATCTTAGGGAAATACACATCCGATGTCAAATTCTAAAGTTAGAACAACAAAAATAGACCTCCGCTTTCCATTGGTTGGTGGGAATAACACGTGCGTCGGAAACGCCCGAGTGGTGTCCCGATTGATGACGATAATGACGAAGCAACGCCGCGGCCGCCTGATTGGCCAATATTTTTAAACGTGATCTATTTTTGGTAAAATGGGGAATTCAGTCCGAACAAATGACGAAATATATGCATTGAAGGGGGGGTTAAGACCACTTTACTAGACCGTGCGGTGTTATCACTGAGTAATCTATGGACAAAACAACAGACACTATTGATTTTGTGAAATTTTAATCATATAACACTTTTTTTTTCACTTGCCCGATCGGACAACCAAGATGATGTTTTTACTTGTCCGAATACGGCATTAACTTGCCCCCGGCAATCCGACAACTGTAAGCGTCGGACCCTGATATGTACATCATTTCATACACACTGGATATGCAGTTCATCTACTTCAGGTTTGACTATAGACTAGAGACATAATGTGTACAAACCTGATATCAAATTGGAAAAAATAGGTAAAGTTCTGGATTCCCAATGTATATTGTCCTTCATACTTTTGGCAATTTTATTTCAAATGTTTGGCTTTGAGCGTTCCTGATGAAGGTAAATCCAGAAAAACACGTCGGACGCATGCAATTATTAAACGTGTTGTTTTCAATTTTTAAGGTCTTTTAGACACATTCCCAACGTATATTGTCGTTCATATGTTTGGCAATTTTATTTCAAAGGTTTGGCTTTGAGCGTTCCTGATGAAGGTACATCCAGGAAAGCGCTTCGAACGCATGAAATTATTAAACGTGTTGTTTTCAATTTTGTAAGGTCTTTTAGACACACCAAAGTGTAAAGCACATGTCAACTATATACATTGTTTTTGTACAATAAATTACAGGACGCTTGAAATTATTAAACGTAATGTTTTCAATTTTTTAAGGTCTTTTAGACACATTCCCAACGTATATTGTCGTTCAATTGTGGTGATCAATAGATTGTATAATCAGTCAGTTTAGCAGTAAACTGGGCATGTGCATATCAAATTAAGTACATCAATTGGTGCATCAAATGTTGCAGGTTACTGTCATAATAAGTAGGAAATGCCATTCTGCACTATTTTGCTTTAAATCCAGTCTTAACAAAAATACCACTCTATAGCGGGATAATTTTATCTATAGAAGGATTATTCCTACATACAGGTATAAACACCATACAGAGGGTTTGTTCTTAACCTGATGAAGGTATATCCAGAAAAGCGCTTCGGACGCATGAAATTATTAAAGGTGTTGTTTTCAATTTTTTAAGGTCTTTGAGACACACCAAAGTGTAAAGCACATGTCAACTATATATATATTGTTTTTGTATAATAAAGTACATCATGAAATTGAGGAGGTTTCGTGAAAAAAACACTACATTTGTATGATAGAATCATGTATATTTCAAATTGTAAGCAAATTCGACATGGCAGTATTTCCGGAATTCCCGCGTAAATGCCATGTGTCAATCGGGATATTCCATTTTCAGGGCTGTAATGTCGTTCATTTTTACAAAATGTAGGTCATTTAGACACACCAAAATGTAAAAGACATGTTAACTATGTGTCATGTTTCTGTATAATAAGTGTATCATGAAATTGAGCTGTTTTCGTGAAGAAACACATACAAACATACGTTTATCATAACGTCTCAAAATGTAAACAACCCCTAAAATACAATGGTATATGGAATCGTCCATAGCAAGTGAAAGACATAGAATTCGCGAATACACTGTTTCCGTTGATTTTGTCAAATGGTATGACTGACATGAGATGAAATAAATATAGATATGTACATAAACAGCTGATAAAGGTCTTTTCAATAGTTGAAATCAGTTGTTTGTTGGTTGAAATGTGATTGAATTTGCAGTACATCTACTTCATTTTTGACTATAGACTAGAGACTAAATGTGTACAAACCTGACGTCAAATTATGTTGAAGAAAATAGTTTCACATTTAATCCTATCAATTCATCAAAAATATTACACAAAGAACAATATATGTCACATTACATATGCATTAATTCAAATTTACGTCCATTAAATTATTATCTCAATGGAAGATTTCCCGCGGAAATGTCATGTGTTCAACGGGAAACACCAAAAAGAATTTTAGGTGTATGTTGTCATTAACATCCTGATTAATGTACACAGTTAGATAAAATATATATGTTAACTATATTTATATTGGTTTTAAGAATAGTGACTTTATCAGAAAAAAATATTTATTTGTCGCAGACAACGGTAAATAGTATACATTATCTTGACACGACATATGAAAACCCCTTAAGCATAATGGTGTATGGAATCGTCCATGGAATTGTCCAAACAGATACAGGTGAAATACGTAGAATCATAATTGTAGACACAGAAATAAGATCAGAGATAAGACCATTGTGTAAAGGTAAAAAAAAACTGTATAAAATTTGTTTAATAAATTTGCTTGATTAACCTTGAAGTTAAGACTAATAACGTTTACGTGTATCGAGTGAACCTCCTAAATAAAATAATACTGTGTTCTTGACTACCTCCTCGCGGGATGATCGGTAGAAATGATATTTTATTATAGTGGATGTTAATAATAAGTAATTCAGGTAACACAATCCCTGACTTGATATTCGTTTAGCTTACATAGATAACGTTCACTTCACGTGTCAATAAACACACAGGCTAGCGAACGGTTTTCGAAATATACTAACCTTAAGAAGGAGCCAAAGAAACATAACCATCCAGAAAAGGAAAATTGACAATAAGGAGTGAAAAATCGCCTCTTTTGTAATACATTTTAGTATTGAGTTTCCCGTCTGAAACTGAAATATCTAAATAAAAAAAAATATAATTGCAGTGTATATAGTATGATTTGAGGTAAGTGCCTTCGAATATATGTCCACAGAACAGTTAGAAAATATTTGATAAATCAAAGCATAATTATCATTAAGGTAGCGGTAAGTGTTATTAAATATTTCTATTAAATGGAAGTTAGACTGATTTTTGCCATGAACTGCTATTCATAACAGTACAGGATCACGTCTGCTATAAAAGATTTATAATTAGCGCCCCGATAGACCCATACTCACAATGACCGTAGTTTCTGAAACGTACTAGGATGTTGTAAAGGAAGGAGAAAATTAAGTTTTATTTATCTGGTTATAACACTATCACATTGTTGGACTCTGTTTCGATCGGTATGAACACAATAAGCTTTCCGAGTCCTTGGAGTTTAATTCCAATCCTTTCCTAACGTTTTGTTGGTTCACTGTGTTTGAATAAATATACTTCCTACTTATAACTGCTACATAATTGTAACTGTTAAAGAACAGACAAGATTTTTGATATTACATTGTCAGAAACAAAGCTTGAATGCTTTTAGTTAAACCAATCGGAGATTTCCGTACATTTAATTCATAGCTAATTTATTACAATAATTATGATAACATATAAATTAATGATCAAAATATTTATTATTTACAAGTAGTAACTTTATATTATTACAAATAACATTCATAAAAAATTTGTAACATTTGAAGAGTGGCAAAATACATGAAAATATTAAACAAAGACATTCACCATTTGAATTAGTATTGTGTGTATCTTACATGTTTCATGGCATAATTTTGTAAATATCGTCAGTGTATTATTTTGAGCTTACATGTTTCATGACATAATTTTGTAAATATCTTTAGGGTATTAGTTGGAGCACCGAAGGATACATTTACACACAGACATGAGATAAAAACTCCAGGAAACGTATACAAATGTAAGGTGAATCTTACCACACAAGAAAAATGTACGCCATTCATGATCAGGACTATAGGTAATCAATGTCTTTAAGAGATAATAAGTGAGTCAAATAAAAACTGACAAAAAGTACAAAATCAAACAAACAACATGCCATAACACATTACACAGGAAACCAAAGAAAAAAATAACACCACTAAAAATAGGGGGTGTACGAGATGTTCCGTACCAGTAAGCAGTTCTTGTTTCAATAATAGCATGGATTGTGTTTGTCTTGCAAGTCAATTTTGATTATGGCACTACTGGAATGATGCTACAGGAAGATATGAATATCACTGTTGTCATTTTGTGTATCTCTCGCTGGCATGTGTATGTGTGAAAGTAAAGATATGAAACAGTCTTAAAGTACTCTCAGGTTGGTATTTTGTGTCTTTAGTTGTTAGACGTTTTGTTATTTGTTTTTGTACTTTGTATCTATCTCATAAGTCAAGACATTTTCAAAACGTATATTATGCTGTGCTATCACAGATTAGGAGAGGCTCGGGCGCCCTCAAAGTTGTTTTACTGTCATACAAGTGAGAGGTATAACTAGCAATAAAACCAGGTTTAATTCTCCATTTTCTACATAAGGAAATGCCTGTACCAAGTCAGGAATATGACAGTTGCTTTCCATTCGTTTGATGTGTTTGAGCTTTTGATTTTGCCATTTGATAAAGGACTTACTGTTTTGAGTTTTCCCTAGAGTTCGGTATTTTTGTTTTTTTACTTTTTACCGCCACATTATGTATGTGCCTGTCCCGTAGTCAGTAATCGGTAATTCAGTGATTGTCGTCGTCGGTTGTTCTTCTTTTTTGTTTTTTTTTCAATCAGGCCGTAAATTCGGACGTTGGTTTTCTCGTTTGAATTGTTTTAGATGTTGTCATGCAGGAGCCTGTATAACTTGCTATATTTAATGGGTTTTGTTGAATGCCATACTATGGTCTATATTTGCTAACATATATGTCACTTGATCTCTCGAGGATAGTTGTCTCATAGACAATACATATATGTTATTTGATCTCTCGAGACTAGTTGTCTCATAGACAAAGATCCCAAATCTTCCTATTTTTTTTGTATCTTAACTGTTTCCGTGGATTTCCTTATTTCAAGTTCATTGGGATAGATGCAATCAACATATCAACCAAATTTTCAATTATTCAGTGAAAGGACATGGAGGTTTAACCCATCATTTGTCTTCCGAAAATGCCTGTACCATGTCAAGAATATGACAGTTTTTTTTCCATTCGTTCCATTGGATGATATAGTCGAGCGTATGGTTTTGTTGGGTTTAAAGGACTTCCACACGTTTTTAATTTACCTTGGAGTTCGGTAGTTTTGTTAATTCTTTTTTATAATGTATAAAGCGAAACTTGAAATTAAAGTTTAATGCTAGATGTTTTTCCTTTTTATAATGATGCACCTGTATGAATTTTACAGCAGTATAATTACGGATCAAATTGACCTAAAAAGTAGCATTGATGGTTTGCATGTGAATGCAGATTGTCTGTTGAATAAAAGGTACTCCAAACATCCTCCAACCATAACAAATTTGTTGTCAATATCTTGATAGTGTCAGATTTAAAGATTGTTTTGGTTTAAATCAATATGATTTTGAACAAAGTAACATGTGTTCCTTCCGATTAAAAGATACTATTAGTTTAGTGTAGTGTCTTTAGGATTAGAAAAGGGAATATTTGTGTAAAATAGTCATAGTAAACGTTAATGATATAACTAAACAATTCAAGTTCATAAAAAAACATAGGTCTAATAACTATTGTACAAGCTTTCAAAGCAAGCTCCAAATATTTCTAATGCGGAGAAGTAGTTGATGGGCTGCATTAGCAAACAATCATGGCAATACCGTCTGTGTACATTGGTGCTAAATATTTGGTTTTTTTTTTAAATACATTCTGCAAATTTCTCTTCAATTTTAAAGTTTTGAAAAAAAGGGAAATGCAATTTTCAATTTCGACAACCAAATTGAAAAAAAGTTTGGCTTATATAGACACGGTCTCAATACAACTTAGTATTCAAAGAAATATGCGAAAGTAAATAAACAAGTTACAGGATTAAACATATACTGAGATAGCAACTTCCACTTAATAGATGTCTGATGAAAGGCATAATGAGATCGTCACAGGTTTCAACAAGTACTTAACATTCGTTTTTCTCATTTAATTAGTAGTCGAAGAAGCAACATTAACTGTTATAAATACACACAACTTAAAAAGAAGAGAAGAACACTTACCGTTTTTTTGTGCATAGCAAAAGAGCAAATCATAACTCAATTATTATTCGCTTTGAACTGAATTGGACCTCTTTATATTGCTGATTGAATCATGTCTCTCACTCTTTGTTTAATTTGTTTTCTTTTAATGTCAATCTTAACTTTTACAGTCATTCAAAGGGTCCATTAAATATCGTAAGAGTTTCCATGTTATTTCGTTAAGTGTATGTTATAGATGTTTAGTTTTTCGTATACATACGTATCTCATATGATAATCAGTTTATTGCTTTTGTATAGATGTTGTATTAACACTTTGTCTTCTTTCTGTATATAGAAGATAGGAATGACACACATCGCGAGGAAGATCATCAGTTATTAGGAGCATCTATGGCTGTATTTAATGAAAGTATTGTTGTAAGTTTCAATAAACTTTACTATATATAGCTGGTTTTTTTTCTGAAACTAGATTTCTTTGCTTTCTCTTTTTCGTCCTTCATACTCAAGAAGAACCAATTATACACAAACCCAGTTTTAATGCAAAACTGTGCAGAATTAACAACAATAATTATAATGGAAGGGATTACAAAAATACACAATCCTCTTCAGTATAATACCTTATCCATCTAACACAAACGACCTAGCCGGAAACAATAAAAAGCTGTAAATTGTAGAGCAATAGTACCTCTACCACAAAAATAAAGTACAAAAAGTGAAATGTATTCATCCAGTACCATCACATGGTACAACTTTCTTTTTTAAAAAATTCAAAAGATATTTGGTACATGTTATTAGAAAATAAAAACGTGTGTGAAAGTTCGCATCTTACATACTTTTTGACAAGGATGGGCGATCAACGCAAAACTTTCTGGCATGAATATGAACATCGACACTTCAAATATTTTACGGTCATCATTACTGAACTGTTAAATAATATAGTAGCGTGCAAGTACTCATGAGAACATGTATTCTATCTTAGAAAAGAAAAGAAAAATATTAGTCTAATCAGAAAATAAAGGTAGTCTTTACCTTAGTAGAACAACCTCATTGTTTAAAATTATTCATTATTTCATCAATAGTAAATTTGAAGAAAAATGAACAAATCAATGATAACTGATGTCAAAATAAGAGACTACTGGGCTGCTAAGGAGTTAAAAACAGAAATATTATTTGTAGTACACTTAATAGAGGCCGAGTTGAACAATATTTGATTTTTTTGTGTAGTTTAGGTAATCAAAACGGAGTAGGGATCTTTAAATGTTAAGAGGACACCTTAAGCTGAGATTTTTAAAGATTTGAATGATTAATTTTGACTCACTGTAAATTGCACGGACCTAACTTTTAGAAGAATTAATAATTTCATTCTTAAGAACTTCCGTGTAGTATTTACGTCATACAACCACCACACTGTTGGCTGCTTTGTCGGTCCGATCCGAACACAAACCGAATTTGCGAGAAAATGGAGTTTGTCTTTTGTACTCTAGAAATAGGCATATCATTAACCATATAATTAATTTTTAAATTATTTTAAAAAAGTGATAATCGAATATTCTGCAATTATACGCGAACATTCATAGGATGGGCTGAAAACGCAACTGTATCACACTCCTTAAAATATCATGTAAAAGAGAGCTGGAATCAATCAAAGGGATAGTCAAACTCATCAGTCAAAAAACAAACTGGCAATGTCATGGCAAAAAAAAAACGTAAACTGACAAACGACAAAACAACAGTCTACAAAACAGAACATAGAACACTGAAGACTGACCAACACGAACCCAACAAAACCTGGGGACAATATAAGGTGCTCCGGAATGATAAGCAGATCCTGTTAGACATGTGGCATCCGTCTTGTTGTTCATGTAAGTACAAACCCGGTGATGAGTCTAATTAAGTAATTAACTAATTGTTATTTGACCAAGTTTACATAATAATTGATGTAACAAACAAAAGAGCTATGTCAGTTGGACATGCTTTGATACTATATCTGCCCTTGAATTTTTACTTGATAACATTTTTGTTCGCTTTGGAGATTCCGTATATCGTCTAGTTATCAGAATTCCAATGGGGACTAACTGTGCACCACTTATTGCGGACCTGTTTTTGTATTGTTATGAGTTACAATTTATGACTAAAATCAGCAAAGACCCATCGAAACAACATCTGATACAAAATTTAACAATACTTTTAGATTATTGGATGATATATTGGCTCTCAATAATGACGACTTCAGTATGTAAACTAAAGAAATTTATCCTGTTGAACTTACTTTAAATAAAGCTAATACTAACAATGACCACTTTCCTCGATCTTGATATCTATATCATTAACGGGAAGCTTAATACAAAAATTTATGATAAAAGAGATGATTTTTCATTTCCTATCGTTAATTATCTATTTTTAGATGGTGACGTTCCCTTGTCACCATCTTGTGGTGTTTATATATCGCAGCTTGTACGATTCGCTCGTGTATGTAACAACGTATTAGATTTTAGCGAGAGAAATTTATGTATTACTGAAAAATTATTACACCAGGGTTTTCGATATCATAAACTAGTCAAAACATTTACTAAATTTTATTATCGGTATAAGGACATCATTCGTAAATATAACTCAACATGCAGACATCTTATACGTTCGGGTATTTCACATCCAATCTTTTATGGTAATATTCTTTACAAAGCACAAAAATGTCAGTATTCACCTCAAAAGCTAACAAAACCTTTAAACAGACTTATTAAGAAGGGATATAGTTACGATACTGTTGTCAGGTCATTAAAGATTGCATATTTTGGCTTTAATATTGATTCACTTATATGGTCTTTGCATCGGAATTAAACATATTTATTCTAAAACCAGTTGTTGGCATGACACGGGTTATGTTCCTCTCATATATTTTATGATGGTACAATACTAAACCCCTAACAGGAGGGATTATGCCTGATATTCATATGACGAAGACATAATCTTTCAATCAGTTTAATTGAGGTCTGGAGCTGGCATGTCAGTAACGGCTAGTAGTCTGTTGTTATTTATGTATTATTGTCATTTTGTTTATTTTCTTGTTTCCTATTCTGACATCGGACTCGGACTTCTCTTAAACTGAGTTTTACTGTTCGTACTGTTGTACGTTTGTTTTTCTACATTGGCTAGAGGTATAGGGGGAGGGTTGAGATCTCAAAAAACATGTTTAACCCCGCCGCATTTTTGCGCCTGTCCCAAGTCAGGAGCCTCTGGCCTTTGTTAGTCTTGTATCATTTTTAATTTTAGTTTCTTGTGTATAATTTGGAGTTTAGTATGACGTCCATTAACACTGAACTAGTATACATATTTGTTTAGGGGCCAGCTGAAGGACGCCTCAAGGTGCGGGAGTTTCTCGCTGCATTAACGACCCATTTGTGACCTTCGGCTGTTGTCTGCTCTATGGTCGGGTTGTTGTCTCTTTGACACATTCTCCATTTCCATTCTCAATTTAAGCCATTGTTTCTAAATACAGATAAGAGATCAGTAAGTGAATGATTTATACGATCTTTGATTTCGATTGACGCGTTTTACATGAAACCTTTAATTACGTTGTATTGTATCAACAATGTTAGAAATTTTTGTTTCCTCACTTGTCCAATGATATTATCATTAAGACCTAGATGATATGCTGTCTGCATTATCATTAAGACCTAGAGGATAATATGCTGTCTGCTGACGTTTAATCCCAAATTTTACGGAAATCTTCGAATTGTTTATGTGACTGTCCTTGTTGTTTGAGGCCCATTTCGAGTGGTTTGAATTAATACATTTAATATTGAGTTTCCCTAATTGGTGACTGTAAAGACAATATGATAAAGGACATTAGTTCGTGAGAAAGAAATCAATAACTAAGACAGTTTTATAGTTCGGTAAAGACAGTCTATATAATTGACATAAGCTCTTCCGATAATAACCTTTAACTCTGACATTGGCTGCTTTCTGTAAAGACAGTCTAGCCCAGTCTAGGTTGCCTTTGATTGTTAACATTCACTTTATTTGAACTTTGGTGGATAGTTGTCTCATTGGCAATCATACCACATCTCCTTATTTTTATATAGATAATGGACATACGCTCTTTAGAAAGAAACAAATAACTCTGACTTTATGACTTTTATTACTTTCTGTAGAGGCAGTCTATATAATGTATATACGCTCTTTAGAAAGAAACCAATAACTCTGACACTGGCAGCTTTCTGTAGAGGCAGTCTATATAATGAATATACGCTCTTTAGAAAGGAACCAATAACTCTGACACTGGCAGCTTTCTGTAGAGGCAGTCTATATAATAAATATACGCTCTTTAGAAAGGAACCAATAACTCTGACATTGACAGCTTTCTGTAAAGGCAGTTTATATAATAGACATACGCTCTTTAGAAAGAAACCAATGACTATGACACTCATTGCTTTCTGAAGAGGCAGTCTAGATTATGGACATTAGCTCTTTAGAAAGGAACCAAAAACTATGAAAGTCATTGCTTTCTGTAAAGACAGTCTAGATAATGATTCAAAGCTCTTTAGAAAGGAATCAATAATAATGACATTCATTGCTTTCTGTAAAGGCAGTCTAGATAATGGACATACGCTCAATAGAAAGCTTAAGGAACCAATAACTATGACATTCATTGCTTTCTGTAGAGACATTCTAGATAATGGTTATAAGCTCTTGAGGAAGGAACCAATAACTATGACATTCATTGCTTTCTGTAGAGGCAGTCTAGATTATAGACATTAGCTCTTTAGAAAGGAACCAAAAACTATGAAAGTCATTGCTTTCTGTAAAGACAGTCTAGATAACGATTCAAAGCTCTTTAGAAAGGAATCAATAATAATGAGGTTCATTGCTTTCTGTAAATGCAGTCTAGATAATGGACATACGCTCTATAGAAAGCTTAAGGAACCAATAACTATGACATTCATTGCTTTCTGTAGAGACATTCTAGAAAATGGTTATAAACTCTTGAGGAAGGAACCAATAACTGTGACATTCATTGCTTTCTGTAGAGGCAGTCTAGATTATAGACATTAGCTCTTTAGAAAGGAACCAAAAACTATGAACGTCATTGCTTTCTGTAAAGACAGTCTAGATAATGATTCAAAGCTCTTTAGAAAGGAATCAATAATAATGACATTCATTGCTTTCTGTAAAGGCAGTCTAGAGAATGGTTATAAACTCTTGAGGAAGGAATCAATAACAATGACATGCATTGCTTTCTGTAGAGGCAGTCTATATAATAGACATACGCTCTATAGAAAGGAAACCAATAACTATGACATTCATTGCTTTCTGTAGAGGCTGTCTAAGATAATGAACATAAACTCTTGATAAAGGAATCAATACCTTTTAGAGTATTTGATTTCAGTAAAATCAGTCTAGATAATGGACGTAAGCTCTTGAGAAAGGAACAAATATCTTTGACACTGATTGTCTTCGGTTAAAACAGTCTCTCTCGATAATAGTTATGACCTACACAAAGGAAACAATAAATGTGATACCGATTGACTAAGATAAAGGAACCAATGACTGTGATACTAATTTATTTAGGTTAAAATATTTTCGGTAATATTTGAAGGAACTCATAACTGTACACATATAACATACATATATATGTTGCTTAAAGGTCCTTTGGACTCTATTGAAAGGTGTAAGATGACCCCTTCTTAAACAACGATGTTTCATGGAATTTGATATGTAATTATTTTTAACATTTATTAATATTACCATATCTCAATATCAAGATATGGAATTCATTAAGACATTAGTTTGCAATAAAATAATACTTTTATATATCTGTTTCATATAGATTTGTGCACCTCTTTGGAAAATTATGAAAGGAAATATAATTGAACCTGTCGGTCGTTGTTACAGCGTAGACAAATCACTAGGACAAGATCACAGTACAAGCTTTAATTTATTCTATAATGAAAGTGGGAACAGCTATGCGCAAGCAGGTTTTGCATTATCATCGAAGGCGGTAAACAACATTTTATTTTATAATAATACAATAATAATATTTTCTTTACTTTACTTTACTTTACGATAACATATATTTGCTTAAGCAATTTTATTTTCTATTAAAAATTTGTCTTACTAATAGCTACTCTAGTTTAAATTGCAAGGATATTATCTATGCGATCAGAAATAAATATACACTTGTTATGAAAATAGCTTTGGTGGTCTCGTGGTAGCGAGTGCTGGAGGTCGTAGGTTTAAACCCGGCTAGGTCAAATCAAAGACTTGAAAATTGGTATCTTCTCCACTCATTAATGATTATGAGTAACGCCTGGTCAGTTCAGAGGGAGTATAATGTCTTCCTTGTAACGTTAAATTCCGGCGCGTAAGTCCAGTAGGGTTGATATCATATCACATTACCGTGTTCTCGTCCTCCCTGAGTATGCAATGAATTTGCCACTGCAAGTTAAACAGACATATATCATGATCCTTATAGTATATATTGTATAGATCATTGGTGTATTGAAAATTTTATGAAATTAAATCCACGTAAATGTAAATCTAGGATCATGACAAACACTTTGTTTTATTAGTATAAATTAGAAGACTATATTTGATGAATAAGTAGATAAAATTCATGGTGTAATTATATAGTGATTCTATACTGCACAATAGTATCTATTCTTAATGCATACATTCTAACGTTTACTGGTATCTGGTTTTTTCTATGCCATATGGGCAAACTGTAATGTAGTTTGTAAATTAGATATATTACACAAACTATTAAAGAGATCAACAAGAGCTGTTTTAGAAGCAGACACAATGGAAATATCTTTATTACTATTCACTACGTACCATTGACATTATAACTTTACACTTTCTCTAAATTTTGTAAAGAAAACAGTACTCTAGTGCCCAAATATGTAATTATTTGCCATTACAAGTAAGAATTGAAGCATGTTTTGTAAATAAATCATCATCATCTTCATCATCGTCCTTCTCCTCCTCCTCCTCCTCCTCCTCCTCCTCCTCCTCCTCCTCCTCCTCCTCCTCCTCCTCCTCCTCCTCCTCAACAACAACAACAACAAGTAGAAAATGTAATTGTAACTTCCAGCAAACTACTATTGGTTATTACTTTGTTAAGTCACATGTTTGTCAGAGAAACAACAAAAATCGAGGGTGACCTACAGCTTTCTTCCATTTCGTTTTGATTTGGGGGATACTTGTTTCGTTGGAAATAGCTCTACATTCCTTTATTTTTATTTTACCCGTGCTTGGATCAAGCTAAAGACCCCTTTCATTGGAGTAAGTTACAACGAGACCTTCGATGTAGTTACCAATAACGACAAAATATTATGTCTATAGTTCATATTTTATTATCATTTATCATTAAAATAATAACAATGATAACACAATTGTAATGATGATCGTGACGATAAAAATAACAACAATATAACAACAAAACAATCAAACCCATTAGTCATTTGGCTTCTTTTCTTCGTTTCATTAAAAAAAAAGTTGAATGAGTAGTAAGTGCTACAGCGTTTGCTTTTATCATTTTATACCAGTAATTTTGTTAGAACAAATATAGATATTTCTTTATAAATAACAGTTGCAGGACAAACAAAGACAGACTGTTCTTATAGGTGCACCCGGACTCCATCATTGGAAAGGTAAGTCCTCGTTTGAATTAATTTGTTTCCACGGGGGTATGACCGCCGTACAGCCGATTTCAGAGTTTGTTCGTAATGAAGCGATAAACAACATTTAGCTGAGAAGGATCAATAGATCATATTGAAACTATGACTTGGGTTTGTACATATTTTATATAATAAACGCAACGTACACATTGCAAGTAAGTTTAGTAATACACCCAATACTCGTAAAGCGTTTTGTCTTCAAATTGACAGAAAAAGCTGCCACAAATGTGATAGTGGTATGGCGTTGTGAACGATGAAATTTTCTACATCCATGGTTGCACCATCCACAGAGAGTAAACAATCATGTTACATCTCAGATTAAGGCTTCCTCTGAACATTTGAAGGTACCTACTATTTATAGTATTATAGTTATTTATTAAAAAAAAGTATCGTTTCATCTCGGCGTCTAGTTTTCGGAGTATTAAGAATATTTAGGATGTGATTGATGAATTACGTGCTTTTGATGGTCTATTCAATTCGGTTGACTTTTGAAGTCTCTTCACGTCACTGCCACACAATCTTATCAAACAAAATTTTTCTTATTTAGTTAAATGATCATTTGAAAAATCTCACTGCACATTTATTTGCCGCCACTCGTACACAGTCTTGTTTATCATGAATAAAGGTAAACATGCTATGGTGTTTCATCTTACAAAGTCTATGACAGTACATTTTCATTTAAGGTCATCAACCATCACGTGAACGAATGGAAAAGAATATAGAATCATGACCTGTTAAGATATTCTAAAACGAAAACATAACATACCAAGACACATGTAACGAGAACATTACATGTTAAGATACCTTAGAAATATATCATTTATGTTGATCAAGTTAATCATAATGTATACACACCTATTTTTTTTTAAGGTGGTTTTATAAGTCTCAATATGGAAAACATACAGAGGTTTCAGAGGTACTCGCATGTGAGCATACATTCCGACATTAAGAAAGCAATAGTGAATAACACATTAATGGGTAAGTTTGTATTTGCTTGTATATATATATATATAAAAAAAAAAAAAACTATGGCGCATGCGGAATTATGTCAAGAACATTTTTTCATGATATATGCAAGACAACACATATGATGACACCGTCTACCTGCTCCCTATATTTTGCATGTTAATTGAAGTATAAATTTTTCACAACAATCCATCTTTACAATTCATTTGCATGCTGCCGTACACTTTTTTCACAAAGGTCTACCTTTTCCCTTTATTTTCAAACTGCAGTATATATTTATCACAAAGGTCTACATAAACACTTTTTTGCATTGCAGCTGCAGTATACTTTTTTCACATAGGTCTATCTTTTCCCTTTTTTGCAAACTGCAGTATACATTTATCCAAAAGATCTACATATACCCTGTACCTGAATGCTGCAGTATATATTTATACCAAAGGATTACAATAATACTTTATTTGCATGCTGCCGTATACTTTTGTCACAAAGGTCAAAGATTCCCATTTATTTACAAACTGCAGTATTCATTTATCACAAAGATCTACATATAACATTAACTTGAATGCTGTAGTATATATTTATCCCAAAGGATTTCAATAACCCTTTATACACATGCTGCAGTCTACATATCTCACAATGATCTATGTATTTCCTTTATATACATACTGCAGTATACATTTATCACAAAGGTCTACTTATACCCTATATATACATGCTTCAGTATACATTTATCACAAAGGTCTATCTATTTCCTTTATATACATGCTGCAGTATTCGATATCACAATGGTCTATCTATTCCCTTTATATACATGCTGCAGTATATATTTATCACAATGATCTATCTTTACCCTTTATATACATGCTTCAGTATACATTTATCACAATAGTCTATCTATTTCCTTTATACATGCTGCAGTATATATTTATCACAAAGGTCCACTTATACCCTGTATATACATGCTGCAGTATACATTTATCACAATGATCTATTTATTTCCTTTATATACATGCTGCAGTATACATTTATCACAATAGTCTATCTATTTCCTTTATACATGCTGCAGTATAAATTATTCACAATGGTCTATCTATTGCCTTTATAAACATACTTCAGTATACATTTATCACAATGGTCTATCTGTTTCCTTTATACACATGCTGCATTTGGTTGTACCTGTAGAAAACTTATTTCAAACGGGATTGCACATCATCACTTTTACGGCAATATTGTTTACCGTGCTCGGAAATTTAGAAACGATCCTGGTAAACTTATCTATCCTTTAAATAAACTTTTTCTAAAAGGTTACCAATTCAACACTGTAATTAGATCATTAAATATTGTTTTTATGGGTACTGATATTGATTTTAATATCAGTAAATTAAAAGCAAACTAAATATTATTGTTATATACATATACACATTCATGGATCTACAATTTGTCGATACCTGTATCTTGGCATTGCACAAGGTCATGTTTTTCTCTGACTGTTTATGACGTCTGTACACTAAATCCATTGAATGTTGGATGTGTACGGGTTGATAATTTAGTCTTAGATGCATGATTTTTTTATTAGTTGTTAGTGGCTTTGAACTTTGTCAGTAACTGCGAGTACTCTCAGATCTGTACTTATTGTCTTTTTGTTGTTTGAATGTACAAGTACCCGGCCACGTCGTCTTGTAATTGTAGTATTTGTATTTTTATCCATCTGATGAGTTAAGCCTCTTTCAACTGATTTTTATAGTTCGTTCTTATGTTGTACTGTTACACCACTGTCCCAGGTTAGGGGGAGGGTTGGGATCCCGCTAACATGTTTAACCCCGCCACATTCTGTATGTATGTGTCTCTTCAAAGTCAGGAGCCTGTAATTCAGTGGTTGTCGTTTGTTTAAGTGGTACATATTTGTTTTTCATTCATTTTTTGTACATAAATTAGGCCGTTAGTTTTCTCGTTTGAATTGTTTTACATTGTCATTTCGGGGCCTTTTATAGCTGACTGTGCGGTATGGGCTTTGCTCATTGTTAAAGGCCGTACGGTGACCTTTAGTTGTTAATTTCTGTGTCATTTGGTCTCTTGTGGAGAGTTGTCTCATTGGCAATCATACCACATCTTCTTTTTTTTAATATTCAGTATACATTTATCACAATGGTCCACAGATACCCTATACGTTTTTGTATATACATGCTGCAGTAAAAATTTATCACAATGTTCTATCTATTCCCTTTATATACATGCTGTAGTATACATTTATCACAAAGGTCTACTTATACCCTATATATACATGCTTCAGTATACATTTATCACAATGGTCTATCTTTACCCTATATATACATGCTGCAGTATCTATCTATGTCCCTAATATACATATTGCAGTATATATTTATCACAATGGCCTATCATTTTCCTATATATACATGCTTTCAGTATACATTTATCACAATGATTTATCTTTACCCTTTATATACATGCTTCAGTATACATTTATCACAAAGGTCCACTTATACCCTGTATATACATGCTGCAGTATATATTTGTCACAATGATCTATCTATTTCTTTATATACATGCTGCAGTATATATTTATCACAATGATCTATCTATGTCCTTTATATATATGCTGCAGTATATATTTATCACAATGATCTATTTATTTCCTTTATATACATGCTTCAGTATACATTTTTCACAATGGTCTATCGATACCCTATATAGCTTTAGTATACACATATGATAAAGATCTGCTTATACCCTTATGTATATTCTGCAGTAAACGTTTATCACAGAGGTACATTTACCCTTATACACATGCTTCAGTATACACATATGATAAAGGTCTGCTTATACCCTTATGTACATACTGCAGTAAACATTTGTGACAGAGGTACTTTTACCCTTATATACATGCTTCAGTATACACATATGATAAAGGTCTGCTTATTCCCTTATCTACATTCTGCAGAAAACATTTGTCACAGAGGTACATTTACCCTTATATAGATGCTTCAATATACACATATGATAAAGATCTGTTGATACCCTTGTGAACATTCTGCAGTAAACATTTGTCACAGAGGTACATTTACCCTTATGTGCATGCTACAATATACATTTATAACAGAGTTATATTTAGACAATATACGTATAGTGTCTTGAAATGTGTAATGTATTTGTATGAAACTGAGAAACAGGGAGAAATGCGAGGTTTACCGATGATTTCCCCCCAGTGTCGTGCCGAATAATAATAAATTTCACATTTCAAGACACTCCAGACTATCTTCAAAAATTTTTAATTTACCAACATTTAGAAAAAACACAAACACAATATTAAATTTTTAAAATTCCAACCACTTCAATACGTCGAGAAAAAACCAGGACAACCACATAAACAGTTTGAAGATTCCCGTAAATTTTGCGAACTCTGTTGGATTGAACGACTACCGACAGCGTATCCCCTAAGTCTAAATGACAATATCATGAGCCAAGCGAACATATCTTAAACTTCCTCTATTGATATCATGACTATTGTTGATAAAAGACAACGCAGTCATAGGTCTCATGGGAAATGCATTAACCGCAATCAACGAAATAAACATTGTTCTAATTCTACACTTGAGGACTTTTTATTGGTAGATATCAATTATTATGTAAACTGGGTCAAATAGCAAATAGTAAATTACATTACATTTATAACAAGTGTGATGCAGTATCGTTTTTCAGTCCAAAATATGAGTGTACACGAATTATTACACCCTTTTGTCACCATAGACGGTTCCCTCAAATTGACAAACCTGAAGATCATAAAAAGTATTTCATAAAAACAAAATACATTAATAGAGGTATTGATTTTATTAATTTGTCTAGTATTTTTCATGACTCTAACGTTCAAAACTTTATACCTCCATATTTTGATAACATAGAGCCACATATAATTTCTTATTCGTATAAAAAAACCAGTAGAAGTTTTATTTTTAATTTTACATCAGTTACATCAGACGTCAGTATAGAAAATGATGCTCCTTCGACATGAGACTGTGAAACATAAAAGTTTAGATATGATCCCTATGGCCATGTTATTACAGGGGACCTCAATATCGTCTAAGACCTAGAGGTTATAAAATTTTAAAAAGAAAGAACCAAAATATCGTATACCGTCGAAAGAAAATTGGCAAGAGTGTCGTCAGGTTATATGAGATGCTCTTTCATCCTATTGTAAAAATTTGGTGTAAACGGGAGAAATCTGACAAAAAGTCACTTGATTCCTATTTGAATAAATGTCTGAATATTGTTGATATTCGCATATTAAATTTCGAAAATAATTTAGAAATAAATAAAAGAATTAGTAATACGCCCATTTCTATTATTAAAAATATGTACTCTCAAAGCGCTTTGTTTTCGTACCGGCCGACAAAGCAGCCAACAATTTGGTGGTGGTATGACGTAAATACTACACGGAAGTCCTTAAAAATTAAATTATACGCTCAACTACATTCAAGGCCGTACGCTCCACATAGAGTCATATAGTAAATAAACATGTCACAACCACAGCTCAGCCTCAGGCCTCTTTTGAACATTCGTAGGTCCCCACTATGTTTCGGTTACCTAAACTACACAAAAAACCTGTATAATACTACTACTAGAAGTTCAGTGCTTTTAAAGAGTTCCTTAACTACTGTATAGGAACTGATCATTATTTTTTAAAATAAAACATATGAAAATACTATTTTTGGAGTGTAAAAAAAATCTTTGGATGTTTTATATAAATTACGTGCTTTTGATGGTCCTTTTGATTCGGTTGACAGTTTTGACTTTTCACACAATTTTATCAAACAAAAGTTTTCTATTTAATTAAATGGTCGTTCTATAAATCTAATAGCAAATTTATTTGCTGCAACTCAGATAAAGTCTTTTTACTCAAGCGAGAAAGGTAAATTTGCTAGATATACTTACTGGAGATGTGATGATATGTTTACAGCCATAAATTTGCACATGTATGCACGTTACGGCAATAAAGT